AAGATCCTCAGATATTCTTAGCAAAAGCAAGAACTGACCTACCTTGGATGAGGCAAACAACAAGTGGTCTACACCTAAGAGATCTCACTATGTTTCCCTTATGCAAGTTGAGCCATCTGACTTGCACTGCAAAAGGACTGCACCTTTCTGTAACAAAAATTTCTCTAAAATTAAAAAAAAAAAAAAAAAGAATGCACCTACTGTTCAAGCTCTGCTTACATAGACTGTCCTGGAATATTTCACCAATTTGAGTAGTGGAATAACACACTGCAAGTACTAACAGGCATCACACCTTAGCAGTGGAAGGACGTCAAACCAGAAATGCCAAAAAAATGTTTCCTTTCAAACCCTAAATTTATTAAGAAGCCAGAAATATATAAGGTAGGAACATTAAGAAAGGAAGGAAACACTGAAATAAAGAGGTCAGAGTCAGCAGAAAGCAAGCAGCACCACAGCAACGTGCCACTTGGCATTATAAGGTGGCTGTATAGTTCTGGTTTAATGTTCAACACCCTATACGGATACAGAATGATATTTTGACACATCTCCTTCCAAGGAACCATATTTGTCAACGCCTTCTGTGACCTTGTGGCAGTAACTAACTGCTTCCATAAAGTACTCATATCCACATAAAGCAGACAAACACGATGGTGTCCAAGTGGCATGCCCCAAGTCCTTCAGTTCAGTGGTGGGTAGAGAAAAGATTTCCCAGCTCCCAGTGGAATTCCTTAATTCATTCCCACAGCCTCAAGAAGGTAGCATTCTACAGTGGGTGGGAGGGCTGGGAAGAAGCAAACAACCACTACAGAAGAATTTAAGTCAGATACTTTCTGCACTGCAAGTGCATGGGAAGACTCAACATGAGCACAAGGTCAAATCATCAGAATTCCACTAATAAAAGATCAGATCCTCTGTAGAGCAAGTTAGCACAGCTGTGTGTACTTCAACAGCAACTATCACTGCCAGCTTTTTTCATCTGCAACTTGACAGCTGTAGATGTCCCTGATTAGGTAGAAATGCTGGGCAATAAGCTGAACAGAAAAGATGCAAAAAAACAAAGCCTACTCCGGGCTCCATATTGCTAATGCAAATTCATATTACACGTATTACAAACACAAATTGCTGGTGTGAGTTAGACGATACTCCAGAGAGCAGATAAAGCTACACACCACCCTCCATCCACATCAGAGATAGCAAACATTATTTGGCTAAAATCTAAGAGCACAACTGTGCTTCCTAGCCCTTGCAAAGTACAGATTTCAGCCTGGCATATAACTTTTCATCTCATGTTAAGCTTCCTTGACTCCCTGTACTGCTCCATCCAGCTCTGTGAGACAGCCAGAGATCCTGTAATTTGTGCGTGGCTGTCCGGCATAAAACCTCATCATCCTGATTTCACTTTGACCCAAGTAGTCCAAGTAATAGGAGTACAGGAGCACACTTGTGCTATTGCAGGGGGGATCTACTTTGTTTTCTTGGCCATCACGACAGGCAGAGTGTTCATCTTTCTGCATTGCAGTCTCCTAATAGAAAGGGGAGAAAAAGTATTTGCAAACAGCTATACACTGTTCATCACCGTGGATGTGTGTAAGAAGAGCTACACAAGATCAGACAGTAAAGGGTAGTTGAGGCGAGAAGTGTGCCTCTAGCAGTAAGGAGCACTGAGTACTTCAGAAGAATTAGCAGGATTAGGGTACATGTACAGGTCATCCTTCCACATATCTTCTTAGTTTTAGCAAGAAACTATTGTTTAGGGTGATCCTAACAGGAAAATAAATTAGGATTCATTGGGTTAGGAACTTCTCAACCTCCATGAGTTAGATCTTAACATATTAACTCTATATAAATGAGGCAGTTAGATTACCAATTTGATCGTGCATTTCTGGTAAGTCTTGCACCTTTTCCTAGAAACATCCCACAGCAAGATGACCACATCCTCCTTAAGCCATAAAAGATAACAGGCACACCAATCCTACTTCCCAAGAGCTGATAAGTTCACAGCACAGGTTCAGAGAACCAAGGAATACGCACCATTGTTCCCTGAGAGACCACTTATTATCCCAGAGAGAGCAGGAGGAACATGCAAATAGGGGAAATCTGCCTTGTCTTGTGGGTAAAACCACAAAAACTTTGTGAGGCTTCCTTTTCCTTCCTTCTTCTTCCTCTCACTCTGCCCACATATAGCTTGTGTAATCCAAGCACAAAGACAAGGAACAGAAAACAAATGAGCACTGTAAGGAATCCTCTCAAACTAATGCTGAAAGCACTCTATAAAACCTAAAACATTAGAACAGCTGTAGGCTGATTAACAGGCAATCCCTATTAACAGGCAGCAGCTGCCATTACCTTGCTAAAAGAGATCTCCTTAGTCTGAACACATGCTCAGCTCTACTCAGTTCCTCTCTGAGATCCTCTGTTTCTGGATCCCAGTGCTCATGCTCCAAGCTCAATGCATGGAAGGAGGGCAAGGACTGGGGAGACCACCTCTTTTTCAAATTTCCTTGGAGACCTTAGTCTGTCTTGATTTTTTATTCACCTTTGCAGGCAAAGCTTGTGTAACCTTTGCTAGCATTTCCTGGGTCACTGTACCAAGGTCCTCCAGAGGAAAGGAGGCAGCAGGTCATGGTGGTCGGACATCTCCCATTAAGCCAAGACTATTCTTCAAAGCTGTTCACATAACGTCACTCTCCAACACATTGCTCTCAACTTTTACATAGTGTTCTTCATCCAGGGCAGCTACTCTATCTAGTCCAATATCCTGTTTCTGACAGAGGTAAAACATGGATTCCTCTGGAGTAACATAAAAAAGTAAAATAGAAGGAATCTCAGCAAAGTTTGCTGACTTGCAGAGATGAGGACTGTCAGTCTTGGGGCTATTTTTTTAATTTAATCTATTCCTAAATACACAATTCCTCTTTTGCCAGTGGTCTGACACCAGGTACACTGCTTCTTGAGCCACATCTGGAAGGAGAGACTTCTACCACCAAAAATGACAATGGTACAGATACCTGACTCGTGACAATGTCTCTAGGAGGAGCAAAGTCTAACACTGTCCCAGGCAGATCTTCTTAGCACCCTGATATCCTGTACTTTTCCAGTCACATCTCTACTAGTGTTTGTGAACCTCTCCTGTTAACAAAGACCCACAAAAAGACAGGGAGCAGCTGAGCAGTGAGCACGTCCTCCTGCTTATCTTAGGGCACCAGCTGAGAGCATCCAATATTGGCTCCAGTGCTTCTGGGGATCCCCGCTTCTGGAAAAACACCTACTATTCCTGGCTCACTTGTGATACTTCCTGCTCACAGTCAAGCCGCACTAAGAAGTACTGACTACATAACTATCACCACATGACTGACAAGCTCACTTGTGTGCTTCAAGGGATTTGCAGCCGATTTGTAGTCAAGGACTGCCAGCTGTTGGGAAGGAGGGGATGGAGGACACAACGGTGCACATCCCTCGTGCTGGTGCTAGGGATCAGACAAAGCTCACAGCCTTTTTGAGGTCTGCTTCTTCACATGGAAACTCTGGACCTATTTCTCATCCTCCCAAGGTCTCTGTGTTGCATGGGCTGCAAATGAAAAGTGGCAGCTAGAGAGACCCAGGGCTTCCTCACCCATATGGGGCAGAAGATGGGAAAAAATTCTGTACAGAGGTGCCTTGGGGAGAAAATGAGTTCTCTTATGAGGCACTACGAAGAAATCTCAGCAGGTAGAACAGGCAACATGCAGAGCTGTCTGGAGGCATGCTGGAGTCCAGGAGTATATTTCACCATAACCAGCATTAGCAACAGAGGGTAGCAGTTTTGACAAGTAGCAGAGTTCATGTATGTTTAGGCTGGAGAACCGCCAGCAAGGCCAGAGCCCTAATAAGCAGCACAGCACTGGAGCAGCAGAACATGCCTAAAGGATACTGGCAAATTAAAAACAACAAAACAATTTGTCTTTCTTAGGAAATTGCAAATGAAAGCAAATACAAGAGTTTGAGTTCTAAAGAAAACAACACTCCCTTTTCTGATGCTGTAGTGTAGGAAAATGCTTTGGATTTCATTCATAATTAATGTTCTCTCTTCCACATAATACAGTCCAAGATAACATTACACACCAACCAGCATTGTTTTAGGAACTACTGAGGAAATTCCAGAGGAATAGCAATACAATTACCGCAGCTGGTTTTGCTGTCAATGAGAAACCAACTAAAAAGAGGATTGAAGTCCTATAGAGAAAACTGAGTATGTTGCAGAAGGAAGCTAAAACACGAGCACTTTTAACAAAGGCAGTAAACTGGAAGAAGCCAGAAGGAGAAGACTGTCTAAATTGAAAAGTCATTTGGCATATTTACGTCTTGCTATAGATCAAATCAGAAGCTGATCTAGGTTTATAGGTGCCTTACGAGTTGATTTTGGAAAAACCGTCAGTGTGTCACTTGTGGTTACCGTGACTTTTCAGCCCATTGCTTTGGGCTCTGTTCTGTCCAACTTGCACAAAGCCCCAAATCACCCTGGAGAACGGCAGCATGATCAAGCACCGTCACACCAGGAGCTCCAGCATCTCCACTGGCTAGAACAGGAGAGATGACTGCAGGAAATATTTGCTCTGGCTATATAGGAGACTGACTTCTGACCGTGAGAAACACAGTTGTGTTTTTGCAGTAGAGAACCAGTTTTCTGTATTCCAAGGTAGTTGTGTAGTCGTAATAAGGGGAAATGCTAAGTAGATAAGTGGACAGTAGAAGGCCTCACTGTTCCAAAATAAGGTAGAAACTTGAGAAAAACAGGATGAGCAGTGTGAGAACAGTAAAACAAAGATCACAAGTTCTCAAAACATAAGAAAAGAGAAATAAAAGGGTTGAAAAAAAAGAAAAATTGTACATATATGGTACAGAGGAGCATCGAGTAGCTTGTGAACATGTAGTACTCAGCCTATGAGGAAAAAGGGGTGGTGATCAGGGGTCGGGTAAAAGGGAATAAAAGATTATGATTTGTTTACTAAAATGCACTCTAATTGACAGGATGCCCGCCATTGCAATTCCAAACAAAATAGCTTCACAGAAGATCCTGTCTGAAGAAAACTGAGATTTTTCTCACAATTTGGGGGCTCATCCAGGATCTTGTTGCCTGACGAAGATTTCTCACCACCACAGACAGGAAGGTGACAAACTGATTTCAGCGGTCCCGTCAGGGGTGGTGGGTCATCTCGGTACAGCTGGCAAAGGACCAAGACTGTTCATCTGAAGACAGGCTCTGCAAAGCTCTGGGGAGAAGGGAGGCCAGCACAGACATACGCAGACACAGCCCACATATAGTCCAGCCCAGATCAGTAACAGGCACAGGGATTACTGCCAATAACTCAGACTGGGAAGCCATGCATGGACTGAGGTAAGGGAAACTTCAGCATTATCTTGCCTCGGGTTGAGTTTGGGGAGACTCTTGTGTGGAGTGTGAACGAGATGCACTTATAGCATGAAGCGAGTGTGGAGTCCTGACCACAAGGTTCTGTAGTCCTGTGAGGGAACAAATCAAGTCCCCTCAGCTGGAGAGGGACAAAGCAAAAGAGAGATGAGTGAAAGAGAGTCTCAGGAGTTTGGGCCCTTCAGTGTAAGGTACCCCAAGCACGGTGAAGTGAGGTGCTCGGCAGTACAACCCACCTCTGTCCTAATCCTAGGTAGAGACGTGTGGTACCCTGTGGGTGGTAAAGTCCACAGCAGCACATCAGGAAGAGCTGGGGATTAAGGGTTCCAAGAGTCAGCAGTGGGGTTGGAGACCCCAGGATTGTGCCTAAAGGTAGCCCTTTGGAGAGAATGATAAACATTTGGAAAAACAACCCAAAAATTAGGGAAAAATATTAAAAAATAAATTATAAAATGGCTTGACATTGTGTAATTGTCTGGCTTAAGTATTTTGGCTAAAATACAGGTCTGATGAAAATCCAGTCTTGAAATTTATATGTAAACAATAATGTTCTGCTTTCAGAGGAGGAATCAAGTTATGCTCCCTACAATCCTAATATTGCCCTGGAGGCAACGGCAGCTGCTCCAGGAGGGGAGACAGGGAATGCCATTGATGCTGTCCCTGGAGAAGTCACACTGGGGAGTGTGGGGCAGCGGGAGCAGAGGCAGGGGGGTCCCAGTGGGGCCTCATGGCCGCGCAAGGCTGACACAGAGCTGGTGCCACTCCCCCCTTACCAGCAGAGAGGTTAGGAGTTTTAAGACGGAAATGCAAGCCTTTAATTGAGGGCCTAGCAGAACAGTCAAATCCGTTTCTAAGGCCTAATTTGTATTCCTGGGGGGAAGTGTCAATCCTGAGTATGTTATTCACTGGAGGAGAATGTTTAGGAGGGAAATGATTTTCCAGGCAGCTATGCAAAAATGGGAAAGAACTAACACCCACCCCCAGAGCAGAAGCATCCACTTATCTAACTGCAATAAACAACAACCCACAACACGGAAATCCTGTGAAAGACTCAGGGTCAGAAGTAGAAAGTACTCGGGAATGAATCCTGAGGACCCAATAGCCCACAGGCTCTTTAAAGTTAATTTTGTAATTAAAGTTGCAGACGTTGAGAGGATGGAATGAACAGTGCAGGTAGTATGAAGGTGCACGCCAGGAGGGAAGATGGGAAGGAAAAGTAGAGAGCAAAACAAATGGTATTCACAGCGTACTGGGTAGTGAGGCAGAGGGCCCAGGATGGAAAGGAGAGGAAGAGAGACGGAGGAATAGCAGACAAGGAAAGCTACCTGTGTTGCAGCCTAAATCCTAGCAGGGACAGGCTTTGAGAAGATGTTTCAAGTGTGGCCAGGCTGGCCACTTCACATAGGAATATATGGAGCGGAAGAAGGAGGAGAGATCGCTGTTATAAATTCAGAATAGGGGAGTCAGGGCTTCTCAGAAAGCTGGTTCCCTGATAAATGAAAAAGTGTACCTTAAGGGCTCCTCAAGTGCACCTCAATGGGGATCACTCTACAGTTATCATTACAGGCAAAACAGACTTAGCATAGGAAGATTAATAAATTTTATTACCTATTGATGGGCTGGAGCAGTGAGAAACAAAAATCAAGCTGGGGGCACCTTCCCTCATCCACTCTCTTCCACCTCTTCCCTGCTCTGAGCGGCACGGGGTGGGGGCAGGAGTGGGGGCTGCAGTCAGTCCATGGTGCTTCGTTTCCACCACTCCTTCACAGTCACTCTCCCCACTGCTCTGTTGTCTCTGTTGTGGGGTACCAACCTTACTGGGCAGCTCCTGTGTGGGTTCCTCCACAGGCAGCAAAAAACAGGCTCTTTGGGAGCTGTGTGGGGTGTGGGGTCCCTCTCGTGTGGTGCTGACCTTCCTGGGCTGTTCCTAAATGGGCTGCAGCATGGAGATCTGCTCTGCTGCAGCAAACCATGGGCTGCGGGGGTCTGCCTTTCCCACCAGGGGCCTCTCTGTGTGCCACAGGGGGGCTTCGGCTCTGACACCTGGAACATCTCTGCACTGACCTTGGTGTCTGCAGGGAGGTTTCTCATTCCTCATTCTCCCAGCTGATGTTGTGCAGCAGGTTGTTGTTGTTGTTTTCTTTTTTGTTTTCTTTTTTCTTTTTTTTCTTTTTTTTTAAATCTTTTCTTGGATGTGCTCTCATTAAGATTTAAACTGCATTGCTCATGGCTTGGCTTGGCTCTGGGCAGGGGTGGGCCCCTTTGGAGCTGGCTTAAACTGTCCCTTAACTAACATGGGGCAGCTGCGGGATTCTTCTCACAGGGACTACCACTGCAGCCCCCCCCCCCCCCACTACCAGAACCTTGCCATATGAATCCAGTACACTGAGGCAGCCAGGTCATTACTGGCCTGTAAAGTATTAAGGCTTTAATTAACTAATTAAACCCTAAATGTGATGGGAGTAGAAGGGACTGGGATAACAGTATCACTTTTTGGGGACACCAAGCTGAGACTAGGGACAGTACAATCACTGGGCAATTAGCCCCTGCCTTGGGTGCATGCAGTAACTTGTAGGGAAAGGATTTGATAATGAGATTGGGCATTCAAATAATAAATTGTTAGGCTGGAATAACGGTATTATTAATGGGGTGCTCTCAGACCCTGAGAGCAAAGATATATTTGCCTTTGAGTGGAAAGACCCTGAAATGGGGCAGAAGCAGCAACACAGATGGACAATTTTATCTCAGGAGTTTACAGGGCCACCAATTTATTTGGGCAAGTTCTAGAACAAATTTTGGAGTAATTCCAACCTCCAAAGGAGGTGTTACTGTTACTATATGCGGATGATTTTTTTACTGTCAGGACAGTAGAAAGCAGTTGTGAAGGAAGACACTAACAAGCTATTCGACTTCCTGGGAAAACATGGCTTGGAAGTATTGGAAAATAAAATTCATAGAAAAAGTCAAATATTTAGGGCATCTAGTGTCTGAGGGGGGATGAAGAATAAATTCAGAGAGGATTCAAGGAATTGTTGAGCTACCCCTACCCAAAACTAAAAAGAACTAAAAAGTTTTAAGAGAAATAGGTTTTTAAGGAATTATGAGTCACCAAGTCCAAAGAAAACAGATACTCCCTGATGGGAGAGAAATGCTGAATAAAGTATTAATGAGGCAAATGTTAACTGTTTTACATCAAGAGGGTCATTGGGGAATTCAAGCAACATGTGACACAGTGCTATGGACATACGCATGGGTAGGAATATATACACTCTAGCTGAACAAGTAAGGAGCAGTTGTGTAATAGGACAAAAGGTAAATAGGAAAATTATCTGCAGTCAGCCCAAAGGGGGCGAGAACCAGGAATTCAACACTTCCAAAACGTACAGGTAGATTTTACAGAACTCCTTCGAGTAGGTAGATTTAAATACTTATTAGTCTTGTAGATCATTTGTCAGGGTGGGTGGAAGCTTTCCATTCAGAATCTCTTACTGTGAACATAGTAACTAAAGTAATTCCAAAACAAAAAACTCCCAGGTATGGAATTGTTGAAAATATTGACTCTGATCAAAGAAATCACTTTATGTCAGAAATATTGCAAGGGCTAATGTGGACTCTAGGAATTAAGTGGAAATGTCACACTCCTCAGCATCCTTCCTCTTCTGGAAGTGTGGAGAGCATCAGACAGTAAGCAGCAATTGACTAAGTTCTGGAAACTCAGCTTCCCTAAACGAAATGCTTATCTTTGGTACTTCTCCAGATTTAAACTGCACCAATAAAAGATGTGGGAGTTACCCCATACAAAATACTATTTGGATTGCTGTACATGGACAAAGGGAATGAATTACCTCAATTTGCGTCAAAAGATGCTTTTCTTAAGAACTATATACTCAGGCTGTCGTTCTCTCTGTCATCTCGCAGGACCATAGGATCATTAGCTCAAACCACACCCTTGGAAGTCCTGATCCATCAGTTCCAAGCAGGAGATTGGGATCAGATGTGAACATGGAGAGAATTGAAACTTAGTGGGATGGACTGTTCCAAGTGCTCCTGACTACTGAGATGACAATAAGAATGGCTGAGAAAAGGTGGACTCATACCTGGGTAAAAGTGTCAGATAACCCTGATACCTGACAGACTGCATTAACAAAGACTTTTAAGGTCAAAACTGTTAAAACTATCTATTGTAAACCTTTAATGTCTCCTTAGACAAATTCTTAATGAATTAATGAGTAAAAGGGATTGAATTACACAGAGTTGGAGTGTTTCCAAGGAACACTCTCTGGAAGTGGGAGAAAAAGAAAGGAGGCCATTTAATCCCCACCAGAAGAATCCTTATTAGTTTGTGATTTTTATTGTTTTTCTTAATTATTATAGGGGTTGTTGTCTGAAGATTTGTTCTCACATGACGACTTCAAGAGACAAAGGCCTTTATATCCTGAATCACAACACCATGGACAGACACCATGCATTTTCCCTAATCACACAGGGAGCGGGGAAGAGCCCATCACAGAGCACACACCTACACAGAGCGCTGGAAACCCTGCAAGCGGTGCCAGAAGACCACCACTTTAGCATCTTTCTCTGGTCAGCAGTGTGCAGGACAAGCCAGAAGCAGAGCAGCAGTGGGAGGCAGTACAGCTCTGCCACATGGGAGCACAGATCTGGCAGGCAGCTGGGATATCCCCCAGCTTGAGAGGATGAGGAGGGGTGAGCCAGAGCCTCAGCTCTTACTGGAGCTGCACCAGCACCCATGGAGAGGGCCATGGGTCTATGGCTACAAAGAAATCAAGTAGCCTCCCACTATTTCCAGATAATTTAATGCATATCACTTAATAGAGATACAACTGTGTAGATAAAAGATAATGACAAAAAAAAAAAAAAAAAACAACACACTGGTAAATTGGGAAAGCAGCTAGACTCTGCAAACTGCCTGGCAGCTGAGCTGCCAGGTCTCACATCCCTCAGGAGGTGGCACGAGTAAGTAATGCATCTGTCAGGGACAACTTTCAGAAGGGAAGTCTTGCCCACAAGATAAGCCACAGCCTGGGAAATCTGAGCCAAGGTTTCCTACCGGGTGATGGCTTCATTAACCAATAATTAATAAACTACAAAAATGAACTGGCAGGGATTGAAAATCATGTATTTAATGGGCAAGAAGTCAAAGAAAGGACATCACATCCATGAGGGGAGACTAGAGCTTTTTTCCTTTGCACAGCTGCCATAGGCTATTTTTCCTGTGCTGCTTTTCCACTGTCACTGAGTGGAAGTCTGCATGTCTCACCAGTTGCAAGCTTAGGCCAACAGGCCAGACACATCTCCAGAATCATTTCACGTTGGCACCAGAAGATCTCCTCCTCCTCCACTGCTCAAGGGAGAAGGGATCCTGTTACAAAAGCTCCAGCACCACCACTCAGGAAGCTCTGCAATACACTGGAAGAAGAGGTGCCAAAGATGCGGTGAATGAGACCACAAAGAGCTGGATGAGCTGGCCCCGACAGCAGTTATTCCCACAGCCAAAGCTCAAGAGAGATGGAATACATTAAAAACACCCACAGCTCTTGTGGGAGAACAACAAGTACCATTGCAGACTCCGGAATGACTGATTCAAAACAAATATATCCGTTATCCACATTGGGTTTGGACACGAGACCAGGCTGCATGCTAAGGCATTGTTTTTGGATTTCTTAACTATGAGTTTGGTCTGGTGGAAACTGTCCTGTAAGGACACCTCAGCAGCAAGACAGGTAACTGTGGGTGGCCACAGAACAATCTCAGAAAGAGACATCCTGTGTCAGTACTCCTCGGGGCAGGCTTTGGCAGCACAGGTGTCTTTCCTCAGGCACAAGCCCCCTCTTCTCAGGAGTGGCACTGCTTAGATGCCATGGAGACAAGGCATGGAGAGGGTGTTTGATTTGTGTTGGATTTGCTGAGCTTGCAGCCAGGTTTCTTTCCTCTTAGCATTGCAGCCTCTTTATACAATGCTGAAGGTGAGCAGCCCTGCAGAGCTCAGCCAAGCCCAGGTAGCAAGGGCCAGCTCTCACACACAAAGCACGACGCTGGGGCAGGTGAAAGAGTTGCTCTTCTCATGGAAGCAGACACGAAGGGGCATCTGGGCTCACAGCTTCCTTTCTCAGCACAGAACACGGGTTAAAATGACTTCCAGTGCCAGCTCAAGCTCAGAGAACCATGAGATGTTTTGGTGGCAACCCCATGTGGCTCTGCAGTTACTTGCAGCCTCATGGGTCAAAAGCCCTCAACATTGCTGGCCCAGACCTCCTCCTTAACCAGAATTACCCAGCTGAAGTTGGCAGTTATTATTTCCAGATAAGATACCCATCTACCCTCTGCTTACATAAGCAAGTGCCGATACTCCAAATAGTCTTTTCCCTTGGCAGGAGAGAAAAATAAGGCTTACTGTAAATAAAGATGACTGTTTAATTACCTTCTGATAAAGTCTAAGTTTCAATGTTTCTGGGTTTAATATAAAGTCATACCTATTTCAATTCTTTTAACTCTAATAACTAGACCACATCAAGTCACAAGGAATTGTTAGTGGTACTGTTTGAGCAGAGCCCATGGTTTCATACCATGATAAGTTTATCATGTTGTATTGCCAATTTATCTGTGACTTGTTGCTGTTTGACTGGCAGCAATAAAAATACCCTCTGCTTTACTACACAAGTGAAACCCCGAGCAATGCATATTCTTTTGCTAAAGGAAATCTGACCTGTTTAGACTTCACTGTATAAATATCAACTTTTTTTCTGACCCCAAAGACTTCCCTGTACTCTGTTTTCAGACAAACATTAACATATGAATTCTTACTAGAATTTCATTCTTAATATTATAAGCAAGGTGTCTGGGTCATTTCAGTACCTGGAAGGTGAAAACTCAAGGTCTAATGTTAATTTTAGCTTATAGAGGTTCTCCTGAGGTGAAAAAAACAAAACAAAAAAAAACAAACAACACAAAGACATGCTATTGAGTTAACTATCTCTCCTTGGCATCTGTTTAAGTTCCTATGAAATTCATGCACACTGCTCCACCAAAGGGGCTATCCCAGCTCTGGTTGGGTCAAAACTGAATCAAGAAAGGGGAGTCTTCATGATGTTCCCATAAAAAGAAAACTAGCATGAGTCAAAGTGAAATCCTAAACTTTCCAGTGGTTCTTTTAAAATCAGTGGCTTTAGGTGTAAGCCTGATATTTGGCAGTTGCTACATGCACAAAGCTGCATCTGAAAATACAAGAGCTCCTCCTGGTTTTACTCACATTGAGATGGGTTAGAACAACTCCAAGGAACTAAACGAAGCTACATTACAGAAAGGAGGGTGCAACTGAGAGAAGAATAAAACCCATGAAGTTTAACTTCTCCAGGGGGGGATTTCTGCTTATAAGATATTTCTGTGTGACCTATCCACCACTGAACCCCAACATGCCTGCAGGGCTCCAGGCAAGAAATATCCCCTGCTGCTAAAGCACAAAACCAGCTCATTTCCTTCCAGTGATGTTCAGAACAGTAGTTTCCAGGTTCTTCAAACAACAGCACCGCTTTACCACAAAGAGAAGCCAGGTCTAGACACCCACTGCTTTTCATGTCCATTAAAAAACAAGGACAGGGATAAACTGCTCCCAGCCTGCTCCAGCAGCTTCCCCTTCACTTCTCACCTGGTGATACATCAGTGTGGGAGGAAGCGAGCCAAGAAAATCCACTCAGGGAGCTCTGTTTGCAGCCCAAACTGCCCCCAACAAAGAAAGAGTTGGGGACATCAGTTCTGCCTCATCAGGACCCCCTGGCTCTTTGATCTGAACACCGTACTGTTTCTAGGGAGTGCTTGAGGAGAATCACATGGGGCTGGAAAGGCACCTATGGAAAATTAACTCAGCAGAAAGCAACAGTATGAGAACAAACTGCTACCAGGGAGTTCATAGCACTTCCCAGAAGCAGGAAACAAGGGAAAAGTGACCATCACAAGAAATACTGGGACTGCTAAGGGACAGCCTGCTAGACACCAACTAATGCCGTAAGACAAGTTCTTTGAGCTGCAATCTTAAAAATATACAAGCAAAAGTGGACAGTCCCTCTAACTCCATATTGCTAGAGATTTTTAAAACAGGAAATTCCCATCGTTTCTAATTCCTTCCAAACAGTAACAGGTTCAGCAGTGTCAGGAACATTAGTGGAGATGACCTAAAGCTTCTGGTATCCATTTCTGGGACCAGTAGTGGTAGATAACTTAGGCAATACAGTGCTGGTAGGAACCAGATGCTCCTTCCTCAGAAGGCTGCAAGAAGCATCAGTGATCTGGACAGCACAACTGGCACACTGCTTGGACCTGGCATGTTGGGAAAGTGCTTGGGTCTCTCATTCTGAACCTCCCAGATCACCAGGAGAAGCTCTAGGTGCTGCACAAATGGGGCAAGCTGCCGATCCATTTCCTGAGCACTGAAAAGCCATTGACCAGAGATCTGCTTAGATCAGTCGTACAGCAGCCATTAACTGGGTAAGAAGAGAGACTTCCTCAATAGGAACATTCTAAGTTTGGTTGAGGCTGGGCCCGCATGCATCATAACAAACATTCAAAGAGTAAAGGAAAAACTGCAAAAGCATAAAAGAAAGTAAATCACTGAGGAAACTGCAGAGACCCACCCTCTTCCACAGTCATCTGCTTCAGGCCCTGCTCTGACCCAATACAGCCTCTTTAGCTCACAATTTATACAAGTAGACCATGGAGGATTTCAGGTAACAGCAAGCAAACCCCCCAGATTTGCACATGAAAGCAGGGCAGTTGCAACCTGAAGATGCTGTACTCCGGCTGTAGGTGGGTGAGCTGCACCCTTGCTGTGTCTTGTGGTGTCCTGCCAGGCCCAAGCTGCTGGAGAACAGCACTGGGAGGAAGTGAAATCCCCAAAGTCTGCACAGTACCAGGGCAGAACATGCCTCACAAGGCAGCACTGTTAAATTTAGCTTTCCTAGTGCTGCTTGCTCCTTTTTTGATCCTGTTGACTCAAATAAAACCACCCAAGTTCCTTCTGACTACAAGGATAAAGGTTCGCCCTCCTGCAGATATGACTCTTCCTACTTAAATTAGATCACTTATAATACAGAATTGAAACCACTGATGGAAGGAAGGTAGAAATACAAGCAAAAAGTATCTGAAGTTCATAATGACAAAGCAGTGGACGTCTACTTTGCAGAAGAGCAATTTGCATCCGACGGTAGTGACCTAGGTTTTCTCTTGGAGCAAGCCTGCAGTGCCATCTGTTCAGAAAAAGGGTGCATCAGCTACCGACAGCTCCCAGCACACGCTGATGACTAACACACACCTCTGCTTTCCAAATCTCTAATAGTTAATTGCCCCACCTTGCCAAGAATTCTTTGAGCATCTCTGGCTTCCTCCATCATAACCTTTACCAACAGAGAAATCACAGCTCTGTCATCTAGTAACGGGCTTTCAAATTGCGTCGTTAAAAATCAGTTTGAGTACGTGCAGGGGCACTTTCTTGAAATCAGTGTTCCCCTGATCTACCTTGGCTTAATTCAGCTCATCCAACTTGGGACTTGTGAGCACACAACTCAAAACAGCTTTCTCTAAATCTCTGAAAAACTCCATACTTAAAAAAAAAAAAAAGTTACAAAGGCCCACTTCTATGCATTTTCAGCGAGCTAGCTTACACTTATTAACCTTGTGCCAGCAAACTATCTACAAAACTTGCAGCAGCTTAACCAACAGCTTGTCTGGGAGCACTGAACTGGATGAACCAGCTCACAGACCATGCTGTGCTATTAGGGGCCTGTCCTTTAGTCCCTTCTAGCATGTCATTTTAGGGAAAGGCTAGATTTCCTGGTGCTTCTGTCTCTAGCAGGATGGTATTCTAGACCCTAATGGTTAAAAACCTCCTCATTTGCAACCAACACATAAGAAATAGTGACAAACATATTTTTCTTCTTCTGACAGAACTACTCTTCAGTTTAGACTCCTGTCCTTTACACTCACTCAATCCTTTCATTTCATTCAGCATTCTTGAAGACTTTTTGCTGGGCTTCCTTTATTACACAAGATCGCACTGAAATGTCCAAGGACACAGGGCATCCACACCACTTTTTACATCTGCTCCAGTGCCTGTGTCCCAGAGGGGACCAGGGGTCAACACAACTCACCTGGTGCATCTTCACAGTAAATTTTCCTTTTTCACAAGAACATCACATTGATGGTTCATAGTCATCCTGTGATCAGCCAGTACACTGACATTTTTCTCCTTCTCAGTATTTTCTAACTGATGAGGCCCCTGCTTAAGAACAGATTTTTGTTATTAGTCACTGAGCACCCTGTATTGCTGAGTTTCAGCCCATTTCTATTATTCTGGTCTTAGTATTCCTGGTATGATAGTTCTGATCCTTCCACACTGAAGTTGCCTCATAACTTCTGTCCAAAGCATATTTTGTTAACCAGCACTGACTTTTTGATCAAGGGCAATTCATGGAAGTTGTAGGTAAGGTTGAGTACTCCTCACCTCCAGCCACCCCAGTATCTCTGATCTTGGTATTTGTGGTTGTCTCCCAGTACAGCAATTCCCAATGCACTTTGTAATTCCTCCAGCAATCCCCATCCCTTCTAACATGGAGAAAAATTCCTGTCTGCGACTCACATGCTGAATGATGTCCAGTTGGGTAAAAGGACAGAACAAGCTGTGCTGATCAGATTTAAATTGTGAGCTGCAACTACTTAAGCTGCAGAGGGGTGAAGACTCCTGCAGTTGCTCATTCTCATTAAAGGAATTGTTTATGTCTAGTCAACTCTAGCAGACTCCTAATAGGGTGAAGTTGGCTTAGATTGAGTTCGTCTGACAGTAAAAACCTCTGCAAGTATTTGTGAATCACCACAGGCACAAGTGTGTTCATGCATCAACAGGGAAAGGCATAACTGGTCTGAACTCAGATGCAGTTCATGCATGATCAGGGAAGGCCAGCAGGCACACACACTTGCTATGGCTCAGCAGGTGCAGCCACTTCACCTAAAGCCACCTTAAATTGTCTACCCAAATCCTGAGGGTTCCTCTGCAGGATCTGCCCTGGGTTGATGGCCAAAGCTTTTAATCACAGTTTTAATTGAATCAGGGCAACTTTCTTCTCTGTTTACATACACACGGTCCCTCTTTCAACCCACAGAAATTGTACCTCTTATCTGATCAACTGACTGAAAAAGCTAGTGCTGTATTACTGCAATCAGCATGTGCCCCGAGAATGACTTCCCTGCCTTGACAAAAGGGAAAGACATAACACAGACGGTAATCCCGCTAGGGAAACTTCCAAATAAACATGCTAGATACCTAACAGCCAACTTCCCAACAGCCTTCAAAATGATTCAGAAGCCCAGTTTCAGTTTCTGTAATTGCAAATGAGACAAAGCTCATTTTAAAGATTCTTCTTTGGATTTATTTGGGAATGTAGGCCATACTTTTCTTATAGCTGTCTGAAAATATTACTAGAGGCTCCCAAATTATTATTTCCACAAATAGGAGCCTCTTCACAACTTCCCCTCTGATTTCAAAGCTACAGAAATCAAAGTTGGATGTTCACACGCATTTAGACTTGATGCACCCAATCACACCACGCAGATTGCCTAGGGTGTGCTCTGGCAAGTAATGCTCAGACCATCCCCGAAGCATTCACCTCTCTGCTGATGGC